GCCCTCCCCCACTGCTCCAAAGCACCATTTGAGTTCCTGGCCATCACCTGTTACATCTATGATGAAAGAATGAGGCATGTGTGTGGCCAGCCAGAAGAAGAGGAGATTACCTGCCTTTTCTTACAGGTCACATGGGCACCCTGGTCTGCCATCAGCAGAGGTGACTGCAATGACCAGGACTTGGAAGGAGGTCTGTGGCTTGCTAGGAAAAGATCACTGCAAGAATCTATTCTTGTTTTCTATAATAACTTATTTGACAAAAAATATAACTAATATCCTGATTTGTCCCCATTTAGAGCCCCAATTTATGGGGAAACCTTCCATTTTAAAGGAAATATTTTAATTCTCTTAAAATGTGAATACAAAGAAATGGAGGGAACAAGAAAAAAAGAAAAGAAAAATATATCTTGGACATCAGAGTAGGGCTAGGCATAGTATAACCTGTTAGTATAACCTGATCATTTAAAAACAACAACACTTTTGTGACAGTGAGAACTATGAAGTCAACTTTCAAGCATAGCTATAGCGGCAAGATCCATACATATGGTGTATAACAATTTCATCTCTCATGAGCTATATTGTCTCATGGCATCAGTTTAAGCCAATACAGTGAATTATGACATACACATGTGCAAAACTTCTTAAAGATAGATATATAAATAGAAACTTACCATCAAAGAAAAGCCAAATAAAAAAGCAACTAAAAGCTCAGCAATGATGGTAACAGAAGTACAAGTACTAACATGTTTTGCTGTCATTTTAGCACTTGAAGACATGACATGTCTCAGTTATAATACACTATTGAAATGTTTAATGGTTTCTTGTTCAGCATTACTCATGTGGTATGTCATTAATGGTTTAAAGGACACATCAATCAAGGCAGAAATATTTGTTATCTCTTAAAGAGAAGTCAGTAATTATTCCACCCATGTACAAATAGGTTCACTGCACTCTAGCAACTAATCTATAAATTAACCCTTGGGATCTATTATTATTCTAAAAGAAACGGCATATAAAGTAGAATCATGCCCACTAGTTGCATATGTCCAAGAAGGATCTAAATTTTTGAAAGCAGCTACCTAAGCTTTAAGGAAATAAGGAAATGTCAAAAGAAGTGCGTGTTATGGTTCAGAAATCTTTTATTTAAAAAGAAGAAAAATCTCACTGGGTGTCCTTTGTTTTGCCTGAGGTAAAATATTTAAGGACTCTCTCCCCTCTGACAAAACTGTCCAGTTACAGAGACGAGCAGTGATCCATGAAGAATCTTTTCAGTTATGGCATCCAAATCCAGAATGATCTTTCAGGAGACATTGTATGAATTGTTCTCCTGTGGCCAAAAGACCTTTCTATTTTCTCAGTCCATTTTTATTCAATGTATCTATTATATTCCTCTGTCTGTAATGTTTTTAATGCTCTTCATTTCTGCCAATCAGTATTTTCATCATTCCTGTTTTGCATATAAATGGCATTAACTGCACTTGAAGAAAATTTGAAAAATGGCTCACAATTTTCTTTTATTAGTCTATCAATTAATAAAATAACCCTTTGGGTCTTGGCAATGGAATTAATGCAGAAGAAGCACAATAGGTTTATTGACTTAAGATTTTGTCCCGCTGCTCCTCCTTCTCTTCCTTCTTCTTCCTCTTATCCCCCCCCCCTCCTCCTCCTCCTTTTCTTCTACTTACCATTCTTTACACTGAATTTGAGAGACTATATGAATAGAACAAGATTGTATGATTTTTCAGCACTAAGCATAAGATTTAGGATTTCTAAGAATCAGTGTGATTATGGTGTTCTAGTAGGACTGGAAAATCATTACTTTTCCATGAAGTACACTGAGCTTTAATCAGTCACTGCTTCTAGGGCAACATATGTTTGAGTTTTATTGAGAGAATAAAATGGGCTGTTAGAAGGAACTATATGTCAACTTGATCTCTTTGGAGGGAAAAGTATCCCTGGAAGTCAGCTTTTGAAAAAAGGATTATTTTAAATAAAATAATTTACCTGGTTCTCAAAATTTCAGGATTTATGTAGCAGCAATCCATTAAATAGCATTATCCATAACTTTTTTTAAAAAAAAATGTCAGATTACGAAAGAAAATAGTACAAAAAAATAGGGAAAATGTTGACAGAATGAAGAATCTTCAGAAGAGTCTGGTGCATAAAAGCCATAGATTGCTAACTGACTATGGGAGAGATACAGAAAATTATAGAATCATAGAGTTGGAAAAGACCACATTGACCATCTATTCCAACCCTTCCATGCAGGAAAAGCACAATCACAGCACACCTGGCCATGACAGATGGTCATTCACCCTCTGTTCAAAAGCCTCCAAAGAAGAAGCTTGCACCACTCTCCAAGGCAGCAAGTTCCATTACAGTCAGCTTGGATAATCTAAGAGCGGAATAGCTAAAAAGAACATATTTAATGTCTGTTGCAGATCCAGATTTTGACTTACATTATTCTTGCACAAAAATGTAAAGCTCTCCTCATATCTGAATTTCTTTATGTGTTTATTTATTTTGACATCTTGAGACTTTCAAATGACAAAAAATGTTATGAAAAATGTATTCTGCATTTAAATGTGGTGTTTTAGAGTCCCAAGATCAGGATTTGAATCTCTGCTCTGCCATGGAAATCTACTGTGTATCCTCAGTGGGAGGCAAGGACAAACCCTTCTGAACAAATCCCTCCAAGAAAATCTTGAAAATATAGGGTCAATTTGGGATCACTATAAGTCAGAAGCAACTTGAAGTCGCACTTCAACAACAAAGAAAACTATTAAAATGTTTTAAAAAATCATAATTTATCTGACCAAGTTTGCAATTTTTCATTACTTTTGTTCTTGAAAGAAACAACAAATAATGTTAGCAATTTTTCTTCCCATTGTGAAAATGTTTTCTAAAACAACACTGTCTTTGAAGCCCCTGCACAATTTGCAGAGAATTTATGTAATTCATGGTATTTGTATAAAAATAGCAATAGCTGTTTTTTGTGCAGAAAATTCTGTTTTCTCTGCAAGTCAAGCATGTTCAGATTTTATCTGCACAAGGAACACCTTTGTAAAACATTATTTTCTGTGTATAAAATGCTGTAATTGGGGCTTTTTTATGTGCAAACCTTACATATAGTTGATTTGTACAGAAACATATACATATATTGATTTCAGCACAGAAAATCCTTCTTCTGGTGGAGAAAATGCAGCTTTCAGCACAAAACAACTGTGTCTAAATATTGAGATAAATAAACCCTAAATTGTGAAAATTATCAGTCCAAATGTATGGTTTCTCAGCATTTGAGAAGCATTTGTTTTGACATTTTCCCCTCAATACTTTTAAATATGCCATTCATTTATTTGATCACACATTTTTTTCAGCCAATAGAAAAATGCTCTGCATTATACCTTTATTCAGTTTCAACCAAGTGCCATACAACAAAGAATACTGTATACTTCTTTAAACATGTCAATTGCTGAAAAAAAACTTCTGTAGTAAAATTCAAATGAGATCTATTGGACAGGAAGAGAAATATAATAGTCACATATCCTATAAAGCTGAGATTATAAAACTCATTTAAATAACTTAGTTCATGGGCTACGTGTCTCCTTCAGGACTATTTTTATTGAGCCCTGGAGTTCCCAATTTCTTTCTATTTTTCTATTTTAAAATATAATTTGTTCTTGTTGTCACAGTTTCCCAAATACCCATGTCACATTTGGGACATTGTCTGGTGGGATACGTCACACTTGGAACTAGAAAAACACAGAGAAAACCAAAATTGTGAATTTCTACATCTCCAGGCTCAGAATGAGACAATTTCATCACATTCTACATACATTTGTTTTTAGTATTACTTTGGAAATCTAATGTTTGAAGTCACAGAATGTCAGCTACCTCAATATTTATTACAATCCTGTAGTGATCTTGAAATAAGAGACACATATAATGTCTACATGAAGCTGGTTGTTCCAGACTTTAAGTCGGAATTAAATTTATGATTGAATTTGAAATGCATCCGACCTGTTATGATACATCTCTTTAACCTAAACTCTTTTCCACCATTACATTATTCTATTCTTGCCACTAATGCAGAATATATGGCTTTAAAGTCTAACTGTAATGCAACCCACTCATATTATAGAATGATTTCTTCCTGAAAATACTTAATTTATATACTTGATTTGAAGTCATTAAGTAAATGGTCTGTGCATTATTTGCATTCACTAAGACTGTATATTTAAAAAAGTTTTTTTTGCAACATGTCTAACAGCATCCCTCACTCCCAGATTCCAATTAATCAAGAGATTTCACAATACAGAGCAACCCAGTAACAAAAAAAACAATTTGTTTACAAACTATTATAATAAAATTGAAGGATATATGTTTCAAGTTAATTCTCAGGATTTATGTTGTTAAACTACATTTCTATATAAGCATATACAATATGACCACCATATCAATAGGGGATATGTTGCTGGATTTACCATGCTTAGTGTAAATAATGGATATTAGGGATTCATCCTCAGTGCTTACACCTGAGAGTGGATTTGTTTTCTTTATGATAATGTATCCCCCAGGTGAAGAGGACCAACTTTTGCTATTGAATCCACTAGTTATTCATTTTGGTATATTTTAAGCATTGGGGTGCCTTTTAAGTGCAGTTCTGCTTCTCCTGCTTCTGAATCTGGGAAAATTCAGATGTCAAAATAACAGTGACAGATACTGAGAGGAGTAATTTGATTTCAGACATTAAACTTACAAAAGAACTGTAAAATATGCATTTGGTCTGTTTCACAGTAAACAGTTAAAATACGTAAATCTGATTACCAAAAGATCTCAAATTCCTGCTTACAATAGGCCTGTTCTTCATCAGTTGTCTACGTGTATTTAGTTCTCATGTATGATGGCATGGTGCAAATGGGTGAAGACAAAGCTTTTCATTCGTGTTCTGCTGTATAGTGTGTTTCACATTTTACAGTATCCTATTTTTTCTTTTGCAGTAAATGAAGGAGGCATTAAACAGGCATCCAATTTGTGTCCGGATCCTGGAGAACCTGAAAATGGAAAACGGCTAGGCTCAGATTTTAGGTAAAATCTGTAGATCTCAAAGATCGGAAATCTTTTCACAAGACTCTGATCTGTGTTTTTATTGGTACCAGTATTTGCTTGGAATGGCTAAACAAGCAGGAAATGGTCAGTGGGTTTTTAAATCTAATGTAGATTCCTTTTCCTTTCCATCAGAGTGATAACTAATCATCAGCTGGAGGTAGATTTCAATAATTTCTCGTTTTTGGTCTCACTTTAGTATTAAAAATGGGCAATTGAAATGTGATGCTGGAGCACAATTGTGTATTTTGTAATATAATACTAGGGTTGTTAGTCTTTTAGTACATCTCACCTGCTATCAGGAAGGCTTCAAAAAGAACTTGTAAAATGTAAACAAATTGTAAAATGTAAAATATCGATTCTCCAGGTATTTGAGTTGGGATATGACTATATTCACTTGAAGAGTCTGCTCTACTCTTTGGTACTAATCACACCTAGATCATTATTAGAGATAAACCAAGACTGTAAGCATGTACTATTACCAGTGTCAAAATTAATGATAGATGGTCACTTTCTTTATAGTCAAAATGGGTGACCAATCTTGAAATTAAAATATAGTCAATTACACCACTGCCATAACTGAAGAAATGAATATATTCCAGTTACATCCATGCTGCAATTCCAGCAAAATGTGAGGAAGGGCAACATTTTTCATTCCCAGTATCTCCCAGAATATTGTTTCTTGAGGAAAAACCTTTATACCTCTTATATCTTTTTTGATAGAATACTACAAGAAATCTGAACTTATGTGCTTAATTCCAGTTTCACATCTCTGAAAGCAAAACTATCAGGGTTGTTTGGATGTTCAGAAGCATATGTTATCAGGAAACATAGGAAAATTGAGGCATGTCATCTCTGAAGAAAAATGTATTAGTGTAAGAATAAAGTGTATTACATTCCAGAAAGAATGTGTATACAACAATATTCTATGAAGTTCAGTCTGTCAGCCTTGATTTTGTGCTGCTATCACAAAATATAGAAAAAGGTGCTTTTTGATAATCAAGTTATTTCATTACAATGTTACACTTATTTTCCTCACTCTTCAGAAAGACTACCATGGATAATTCCTAACTGCCTCCAACATACTTTAATCAGTTTTCCTTTCTTGGCCTGACCAGTAACCACAGATGAAACAAATTATCTGATACACACTCTCTACCTTCCAAAATACCCCCTGAGAAAATATGAATAGAAAAGACTTGTTTAAAACAGACTCTGCTTGTTGGTTCCTAGTTATTGATCCATTGTGTAGTTATATAAACTGTCAAGGGAAAACCCAACAAAGCTGGGAATTTAACATTATGGTATCTATTCACAAAGAAGTCTCAAATGCAAATCCAAAGATGATGATGGTGATGATGATGATGATGATTATTATTATTATTATGATTATTACTATTATATTTATACCCAACTTTATTTCTCCCAAGGGAGACTCAAAGCAGTTTAACATAAAAGCATTAGCATATAATTTAAAATTTACAAATATGCAAATATTAAAATAGAATTAAATATAAACAGTATTGAAATTCACAATTAAAAAACAATTAAAACATATTCAATTAATCATCATACCAATTCATCATACTAATTAGTCTATCAAAATTGAACATAAGGGATTAAGGTTAGTGTATGGGTTAACCTCTCCACGTTTTGCATAGAGACACTGTTTGGAAACTGTGAAAAGGGTATAAAATAGCATTTTCTGCACAGAAAATAACGATCTCATCACAAAACAACAATATTTATTTGTAGGAAGCAATGTTTTTACACAGAATATGTCATAAACTATTAATAGTTTTTTTAAAAAAAATAAGACATAGTTTTTATTACTGCTTCACTGTGAAAAAAATGATAAAATTAGTTGTGGTTGGCTGCATAGACATGCATTTTAAACAATAGCTAAAGATGGGTACAAATGAAAAATGCTGTACAAACTTGTTCAGTGAATAAACAAAATAGGTAAAAACAGTATTATTATTATTATTATTATTATTAACTTTATTTATACCCCGCTAACATCTCCCGAAGGACTTGGTGCGGCTTACAAAAGGCCAAGGCCCTCAATTAAAAAAAAACAGCATAAACAAATACATCAATAAAACTCATAAAGCAAAAAAAAATTTAAAGCAATAACAATAAACATTAAAAACAATAACACCACGATGCGCTTAAAACTAAGGCCGGACCAAATGTAATGAATAGAATTTAAAAGTGCTGGGCATGACAGGTGAAATGTGTAGGTTTTTAGAGGTAGTGCTGTGTGCAGACAGTCTTAAATCTATAGTAAAGTGCATTTGGGACATGATGCTAGGAGCTTCCTATTCTGGAAAGGCACACCGGAACAGCCACGTCTTCAAGCTCTCCCTGAAGACTGCCAGCATTGGGGCTTGTCTAATGTCCTTGGGGAGAGAGTTCCAGAGTCAGGGGGCTACCACAGAGAGGGCCTGTCCTTCGTCCCCACCAACCGCACTTACGACGCAGGTGGGATCGTGAGTAGGGCCTCTCCAGATGATCGAAAAGATCATGTGGGTTCGTATACGGAGATGCGGTCATGCAGGTAGGCGGGTCCCAAACCATTTAGGGCTTTGTAGGTAAGCACCTGCACCTTGAATTGGGACCGGAAAATGAACAGCAGCCAATGGAGCTTCTTAAACAGGAGGGTTGACCTCTCTCTGTAAGGAGCACCAGTTAACAACCTGGCTGCCGCCCATTGGACCAGTTGGAATTTCTGGGCCATTTTGAAGGGCAGCCCCACGTAGAGCACATTGCAGTAGTCCAATCTGGAGGTGACCAAGGCGTGGACCACCCCGGCCAGATCAGCCTTCATGAGGAACGGTTGCAGTTGTGCAAAAGCCCTCCCGGCCACCGCCGATGCCTGAGCCTCAAGCGTAAGTAATGAGTCCAAGAGGACACCCAAGCTGTGGACCTGTGACTTCAGGGGGAGTGTAACCCCGTCCAGCACAGGTTGCCACCCTATACCCCGATGCGGTTTACGATCGACCAGTAGGACCTCTGTCTTGTCGGGATTAATCTTCAGCTTGTTCAGCCTCATCCAGACAGCCACAGCGCCAAGGCACTCGTCCAGCACCAGTGGGGCTTCCTTGGAGTTAGGTGGAAAAGAGTACTAGAGTTATGTGTCATCTGCATAGAGATGGCAACCAACTCCAAAACTCCAGATGATCTCTCCCAGAAGTTTCATGTAGATGTTAAAAAGCATGGAAGACAGAATAGAGCCTTGCGGAACCCCACAGGTCAAAGGCCAGGGGTCCGAGCAGGCGTCTCCCAGCTTCACCATCTGGGATCGACCCTCCAGGAAGGACCGGAGCCACGACAGAACCGTGCCCCCAAGGCCCATCCCAGAGAGTCGTCCCAGAAGGATACCATGATCGATGGTATCGAAAGCCGCTGAGATGTCCAAGAGAACCAACAGGGTCACACTCTCCCTGCCCAGTTCCCTGCAGAGGTCATCCACCAAGGCGACCAAAGCCGTCTCGGTGCCGTGGCCAGGCCTGAAGCCAGACTGTGACTGGTCCGGGTAATTGTTGTCATCTAGAAATCCCTGGAGCTGGGAGGTGACCACCCGCTCCAGCACCTTGCCCAGAAAAGGGAGGTTGGAGATTGATCTGTAATTGTTCAGCACCATGGAGTCAAGGGAAGCCTTTTTAAGGAGTGGTCGAACCACAGCCTGTTTAAGTTGAGATGGAAAAATCCCTGCTCCAATGATGCATTAATGATCAACACAAACCAATCAATTAACCCATCCCTGGCTGATTTGATTAGCCAAGATGGGCAAGGGTCTAAAGATAATGTGGTTGCCCTCACAGCACCAAGGACCTCCTCCACGGTCCCAGGAAGAACAAGCCTAAAAGAATCCCACAAAATCGGACAAGCAGATGCTTCAGTCACCTCCTCTGGCACTGTGGTGAAATTGGAGTCCAGCTCAAGGTGTATCTGAGCAACTTTGCCTGCAAAATGGTATGCAAACTCGCAACACCAAGTTGTTGGGTCATCGAAGGTCTCCTCCACCGTAGGTGGGTGAAGGAGCTCCCTGACAACCCGAAACAGCTCCGATGATCTATTGGATGCAGACGCTATACAAGCAGTTGTGAAAGATTCCCTGGCTACCCGTATAGCCACGGTATAAGCCCTAAAAGAGGCTTTAGCCCATGCTTGGTCAGTAAAATCCATTAAAATGAGCATGAAGGAAAAGTAATAAAGGAACAATGTATTAAAATGCCTGCAGATTTCAGTACATGAAGAGAAAAATAATCTTACAAAATCATATAAATGAAAGGCCATATATGAATGTGAGTAAGATTTGATAAATATATAATTAATATATGCATATAACAAAACTGAATATGAGAGTTTTCACAAGCTTAAGAGTTGCTAAATTTCCAGTGTTGGAGTCCTTTCCCCAAAACTAACATTATCAATGTGAAATAGTTTTGAAAATCCTAATAGAAGCCAACGGTGTGGTGAATATATAGTATTCTAAGCCTTTTTTTATAATAAAACACAGGCATGACTTCTAAAAAGGAATTTCCAGACAAGCCATATGAATGAAGCATCTGTTGTTGCTTTTGGCACCAAGGAGTTTGATGACCCGAACTGAATTGCATTTGTTCTGGTTTTGTGAAAACTGGAAGTCTAGAGATACAAGTGCATGGTGTATAATAGCCCCAGGACTACCAGTTTTTGCTGTTAAAAAAAGAGCACAAAACCTGAAATAGGAGTTCTTGTTTTGATAAATCATATTTTACTCCATTTAGTACTTCTATGTCTGGATAACTTGCAGACATAATGTACTCCCCAGTTTATTGTCTTCATTCCTTTGCCATTCGTTCCACATCTTTTTTTTAATCACATTGCCCAGTTACAAATATCTTCAACATTTTATTTTCTTTATACATCTTAAACTTTTCAAACTCTTCTCTATCTTTCAAGACATTTCCTAGAATTTGAAAGATTGCAAGGAT